AGCAACGGCTTTTAATGTGTGTGTGTGTGGGGGGGGGGGGGGGCTCCAACAAAAAAATCTGCCTACTACAGAGCTGTGCTTCTCGTAAACCATCAGATCTCTATTTTTCATGATAAATTTCTTCCGTATAAATCCAGAACAGTCCAAGTCAGTATGAGTTACACGTAGCAAAATAACCCGATTTTTTACACTGACAAAACTAAAGGTCGCTAATCTGAGATAAAATTTCACAATTTTGCTTTGATACTACAATCAGTTATAAGTAGGCAGATCATTGTAGAAAAAGTGAACAAACCTACATGAATATTCCCTACACCTAGAAATTCTCTTAATTGATTTTCAGTTAGAAAAAAAACATGCATATGGCCATGGTCCACGTATTGCAGTCCTTTTTTAAAGGACAGCAACTTGTTAAATATTTAATCCAGTCGCATTTATGTATTCAACTTCATAATATGTAACAAACGTATATGTTTTTGAGCAACAGAAATGCCTATTATTTTCTTCTTCATTCATGTGTCAATATTCTTCATTTATCACTTATCATTTTCAATCATTATTTGTTGAATATTCGTAGGTGTTAGGGTTGGGCTTCATTGATTAGAAAGTAAAAATGTATCATTTCTTTTAAAAATCTTCTATACACATATCTAGCTAGTTATTAAGCGTTTAGTCTTGTTCTGAAAAATACTGGAATGTAAATAGATCCCACCTGGCACCTGATCCCAACTCTGATGTTTTGGAGGTCCGTGTTTGCTAAATGCTCCTATTTTGTAATATTTTATGGACTTTTGATCTTGAGTACTGTTCGTTATCTCCATAACTTTCATCTACTTTATTATCTATTACTGAGTATAAGTCCGCCGTATTCGTTTTATCCTTGACCATCCTATTTCTCTTGCTTGATGGAACATTGCATCTCAGTATTTTTTGTTTTATTGTGGAATTCTTTAAATCCTCTTAAGTGTTGCATGAATTATACTTAAGTGACCGATAAGCTCTTGATTTTTTGTTTTATTAATATTGCTTTAATTAGTTTTATTGTTAAAATGCACCTTGATGAAATTTGAAATGAAAGATTTAAAATAAACAAAATCAAAAAAATCAAAGCTTCAATATTTTGGAGTTTCACTTGTTTGTTAATTAATATATCATTGAAATTGTTCATCTACATTTAAAAGAAAAAAAGGTTAATACATATTGATAATACAACATTATAAATATTTTACATTGGTCAAAATGCATAAGAAATTGAAAAGAATGTCTTTTTTTAATTCTCGATAAGATTGATTGATTGATTGTATATTGTTTAACGTGCCATTCTAGAATTTTTCACTCATACTGAGACGTCACCGTATGCCGGTGAAGGGTTTCAAATTTAAACCTTTACTCGCCACACAGGGCCATTGAGCAGTGAAGGTCCTTTATCGTGCCAACGCATATCGTGTCACGGGACCTACTTTTTTAAGGTCATATCCAAAAGATCCGTGACTTTCACTTCTAGTGCCGAGCGCTTGGCGAAGGAACAATCACTACCTATGTTTAAGTCTTAGGTTTGATGCGGAGCCGCGTTTACGTTCCACGAGAATCGAATCAGGACCTCCTGATCACGAAGCGAACGCTCTTCCACTAAGCTACCATGACCGGTTTCTCTATAAGAATAAAGATACTGAATTAAAGACAGCTGTTAAAAATGTCACCACGCTTGATATACAGAAATTCCCGAACTCGAGCTATAATCCTCTATCTCATTTTTTTCAACATAGATATTTTGCCAACCAAAAAATTAGTAAGTCAAAACATGCATTATTCTTCTTCTAGTGAAGTTATTTAATGCTCGGTAAATACATGTATATATTACTTTTTATCCCGTTTTCCATTGACTTTCATCCACTCGTTTATGGTACCATAACGTATATTTACGTTCTTCAAGGCATCGAGTAATTCAGTGTAGCGTTTTTCAAGAATTTAAACTCGTGTTCTGCAACAACCTTGAAATGTATACTGACAAATAAATCTATTATAGGGCTATATAAATCTATTTTACTGATATATAAATCTATTACATTGATATATAAATCCATTATACTGATATTTATATCTATTTTACTCATACTAGTATATAAATCTATTATACTGATATATAAATCTATTATACTGATATATAAATCTATAACGCTGTATTATTCTTGAGTAGATTTTATCTGTACTTTTTTCAAAAGTTTTGAAACCAAAGAAGAGACAGTTCTAAGCCAATAAATGAAAATAAACTCAAATTCGTGGTTTTATGCCAAACAATTTCAGTCTAACGTTAAAAAGAATATAAATTTTAGGAAAAGAGATTGTTTAATTCATTGCTATTTTTTCGTACTTTTGGTCAATTTTTTAAAATGTCGCAAGAAAATTCAAAATTGGAAATTTCGTCGATTGCCTTGACCAGATTTTCAAAAGATAAACTAATTGACAATTTTCATTTCACGCATTTTCTATCTATCACAAAAACTACACAGTTTGAATACAGACTTTAGAATATTTCAACTCTGTACCTGGTCTTATTTGAAACATTTAAAACAAAGTAGTTTATCTAGGATTTAAGGACTGAGATTATACAATCATGAAAATGAATGTCTATTTTTATGTAAGTTACTAGTGTGCAAATAATAAGTTTCTGATATAGACGGCCAGTAAGGGTAAACCTACGCCTTGTTTTGTTTCAACATGTAACCTTTCTACATTCTAACTACGGTGGGTATTTTTTGGGGCTTAAAGAAAAACTAAAGTTTATGTGAATTTCTATACAAAAAATGAGATCATTTTATGTGTGTGTGTTTTTTTTTTTTTGGTCTTAAAATACGGATTCGAAAACCTTACATGAAGTACGAACTTGATAAATATCATTATAACAAATACCATTTAACAATACATTACAGTCGCAAAACCAAAATGTTTTGTACATTCGTGTCTAGACTTTTCGTTCTTTGTTTTGCAACCTTACAAAATGAACTTAACGAAGATTATCATGCAAAAAAACTTCTGTATCATAAAAATGAAAGCATTCCTACCCATTTCACTAGAAAAAGGTTTCTATTGTAGAATTGCCAAGGGAGAATGCTCTATACGATAAAGCCCCGGCTTTCTTGCAGAAAATGACACATTGGCATATTGATGTGTTCATACAGTGATTGTTAAAGAAGTTGATATTCCTCGTTTACAAGCGTCCTTATCATCCGTTGGTGGTCCATATTATATCATTCTGACTTAAGGTACATTGATACTCTGATAAGAAAGATAACTCTTAATGACATAAATGTCTATTATTCCTTTATGGATTTGGCACCTTGAAATGTCTTTTTTTCTCCAATTTTGCCCCGCAAGCTATGCTATAATTGCTTGTATATTACTTAAAAAATACATTTGTTTTGGAAAATATTGAAAGTTCAAGAAACATTTTATATGAGTGAGAAGAGGGTTTATGAACCTTAATGTCATACTTGGCCTCATTTAAATCTAAAAGTACATGCACATGTAGGCCGGCATAAGGATGACGGATAATTAGACTTACATAATCAGTCGTTATCCTCTATAGTGTTTACTTGGTAGTATACATATATATCCAACATTATCTAATCAAATTTGTTAAATATATGACATGTAAATCATGTATCCCTCTAAGATAATATTGGTTTTATACATTTTAATATTTTTATCATTAAAATAATTAAAATGATCGAGAAAGGACAAGAGATTTTGACAAACTGCAGAAATCAAAATGTCATTGCACTAATACTTCGACTTCAGCAAATCCTATACCGGTAGTATTAAAAATATCATTTTATACCATTGGGATGCATCAATTCAAAAAGGACAAAAACACCATCACCGCATTTGAACGTGCTATCAGAGAGCATGATGGGGACCTCATCAATAAAAAGCTGCAAGGAGTTTGTGTCATCATTTTATTTAGCATAATTATTCGTTTAATTAAGTCGCAAAACAGAATACAAAGACATTGTCTTCATTGTTTTAGAGTATGATTTTTCCAATTGGCAGCTTTCCTCCGAACATTGTACTCTAGAGTAGGTTTCCCCACGAGAGAAATCTCACACAAAAGCCATATTTTACCCTCTCTATTTGGAAGACAATTGCACATCTGTCACAGATTAAACACGAAGCTACGAATTACATGCTTTCAAAATTTACACATATTTGATTTATTGTATTATTTTTATAGTTTTGTAAGTTTATTTTATGATCAAATGGCTACATGTGTTCATGAATACCAGCGAATGGGAAAGAACAAGTTTTTCGCAATCCATTTATTATAATATTCAATAAAATATGTTCAAAATATGTCAACCAATGTGAATCAATCCTTCCTTTAGAATTTGTTTTGTGGGGAAATTCCCATCCAATCATCATATTCTGTTTATTTCTGAAAGAATGGAAGATTCTTATTAATTTTTAAATTTGTGATTGACAGATTGAGTTGCGACTTATCTCTATACAGGTGATGACAGTTGCTGCTTGAAATAGTCATTTGACATTTAAAGTTGTTATAAAACTCTATAAATATATCGAGTCTCTGATAAATAATCACTTTTTCATTTGTCGGGTGAGTAGATATTCTTCATTTAAATAAAGTTTAACTTTAAAGTATTTGAAGTGGATAAGATTTTTTTTTATTGAAAGAAAAGATAAGTGTCATTATTAATTTATATTCAACACATTTTTTAAAATTTAGTTTTAATGGTTAAATATATAAAAAAATTATCTTTAAGGTTAAACATACCTAAATTATCTTTAGGTTATTAGCCAATTGTAAAATCGGAAAAATCATGACAAACTAAAATAAAAAATATAATAAATTGATACTATCTGTTTCCTGGAAAATAAACTCAAATTCTTCTTTATTTCAGTCTCTCAAACCTGATCAAAATGACACACAACGTATCATTCGAGAACGTAACAACTAGCAAAGACCAACATCTACCCAACAACAACTACGACAAATATATGGAATTTGAAAGACTTGTTCAAAGTTTAATTCCAGTCATATTTGGATTGATAGTTCTAGTGGGAATAGTAGGAAACGCTCTAGTGATAGTTGTGATCCTGGCGAAGAAAAAACTTCAGAACACAACCAACATCTTGGTTGTAAGTCTCGCTACTGCTGACCTTTTGTTCGTGGTGTTTTGTGCCTCTTTCACGGCTGCGAACTATGCAATATCCTACTGGCCATTCGGAAACGTTTGGTGTAAACTGGTTAACTTTATATCACACGTCTGTGCTTATGCCAGCGTCTGGACCTTGGTGCTTCTGTCTATAGATCGATACATTGCTGTGGTTCACCCGGTTCTCTCAAAACGAATAAGAAATCGGCAAAACACTTGTATTTTGGTCCTCGTGACTTGGACTTTGATCTGTTGTGGTAATTTTCCGATTCTCTTTCAATACGGTATTGTACACTACACGTGGATGGGACAAAATAGATCGGCCTGTGTGAATCTTGCAGGAGTCGGAAACAAACTTGTATTTAAAGTTTTTTACGGTTGTTTCTTTGCACTTGGTTACGCCTTACCACTTTCCTTGATTAACTTGTGTTATGGTTGTCTATTAAAAACACTCTGTCGTCGTTCTCACTTGAGACAAAAGAGTCAACGAACGACCAAATTCGTCATCACTTTCGTAGTTGCCTTTGCTATTTGTTGGCTTCCGATCCAAGTCATTCTGATCGTACAGACCTTTACTGATTATGAAATAACCATAGGTTCCACTGCCGTGTTGATGACTGCTAACTGCCTGGCTTATGCGAATAGCTGTATTAATCCGTTATTGTATGCCATCCTTTCGGAGAACTTTCGAAGATATTTGAGAAATTCAACATGTTTTTCGAAACCTGTGTATTTTGCAGACCGAAGAGGAACAAGAGAAACTCTTGTTCTTTCAAAGGCATAGACATAATAGAACTTTATAGAAGAGAAAATACTCTCATCAGAATGAACTTATAGCGGGACATTTCTTAACATTAAATTGTTTTGCGAATAGCTGTATTAATCCGTTATTGTATGCCATCCTTTCGGAGAACTTTCGAAGATATTTGAGAAATTCAACATGTTTTTCGAAACCTGTGTATTTTGCAGATCGAAGAGGAACAAGAGAAACTCTTGTTCTTTCAAAGGCATAGACAAAATAGAACTTTATAGAAGAGAAAATACTCTCAGCAGAATGAACTTATAGCGGGACATTTCTTAACATTAAATTGTTTTGCAAATGCATCTGAAGTAATAAATTTTTTTAATTCCAAATGTAGACTTATTTGATATTCTATTGATAGTTTACCACAGAGAAATAAAAATAAAACCAGTGGAATAACTTGTCGGAGATAATCAAAACTTTATCAAATTGCTTAGGAAATGCTAGAAATGTAATAAAGTCTTTTTAATTTTAGATATACTTCAATTTCATCCTTAAATGATAGTTTACCAAAGTGATACAAAATCAGTCATACTTTTCTTAGTTCATGCAAATAATAATTTAACCTGACACTTTTTAAATCTATAATAAAATGTCCATCAATGTTAGCCCTGAGTCCTTTACCAACTACATTTATCCCATGCCCCCAAACAAGCCTAAAATTGTCATCCTATAGAAAGCATCCTACTCATCATGACTTTAGACAAAGATAAATAAGACATTGCATTGTAGTAGAAAAGATATTAAAAACAAATAAAATCGAATGCATAATTTTCCAAAATGGACACCAACCAACAAACAAATGGAACTCAAGAAAATATAACGAAAAAGTAAATCAGGAACAATTTTAGTATTCTAAGATTTTGACTTAACAGCCAAACTTAACAGCTAAATGATATGGATCCCTTTATGAAGCAAACTGTCTAAGAAGGAAGATTTAAAAGTGATTACATACTCACTTGTTTCTATACGTATATAAAAACTCAATGTCTATATCGCACCTCTTTTTTGCAGAAGCATAAACCTATTAAGATTATATTGTAAAATACAGGATTCAAATCAAGAAATTCCAGACACAAACATAGGTATAAGAAAGATTATAATTTTAGTCCTGACGTCAAAATCACTCTCAAAACAAAAAATACTGAAGCAGACCACGTATGCCTTTTCATCACCTATAAGATATTCCACTAGAATTAAAAATTCACAAAAAGAATCATGTAATGTCTATAATTCACATCTACCCACACGAATATTTTTAAATAAAATATGAGATTATTTGAATGTAAAGGTTATCTAATAAAAGATAATATGTTGTTGTTAAAGCAGTGAAATTTCTACAAAACATCTTCCATTGTGTAAAAAATAAGCTATGAGGAAAAAAATACATGTACATCCTAAAACTCCATGAAACAGTATAATCTAAGAAAAACTTTTTAAAAATCCATATTTCACTGGTTTGATTTTTTCTTAAAAGAATAACCAGAAAAAGTCCTGAACATTTCGAAAGCACGGGCACAATATTGTCTTATGGCGTTAAGCAATCGACAATCATTTAATCAATCATTTCTTATTTGTACATATGAAACGACAATCATTTATTTATAATGTACTTAATTACTCCTTATCGTAAATTCTGACAGAATGGCACAAAGTGTACAAATTCTATGTGAATTATGTCATGTAAACATGAATATTATGATAGTGAATATATTGATTCCTTTGTAATGTCGGATGAAAGTATCTGTTTTCATAAGACATGTCAAAACTTTTTAATTCTTTATTACAAACAAGATCCATCAGGTAAAATTAATTTTATTAAGATATGTTTATGAAAATGTACTTTAAATACATGAAATAATTAGTATTGTGTACAGGTAAGATACGCGATGTATTTCAGATTTCCATATAAATGACAGAATTAATTAAGGAATGTTTTAAAGCTTTGTGTGAGTTATTGATGTTCATGTATCTTTGAATCTTAATCTTGTTTATTTATTCCCATTGTTTTGATTGGACGAGAATAAATTCAAGAAAATGACTATTAGGCTATTGTAAAATTGTTAAAAAAAAAAAATGAATCGGTTGCACTAAGTCCGTTTTAGCAGGATTCTGATTACAGAAACTGGAAATTAAAATAAACAAAACTGACGACAAATGGTATTGACAAACAGGCACGTTGATAAATTCTGAATAAAAGCTTTAATCCAATAGCAAATCACACAGATTTGTCACGTAGGTATATTTTATGATGCGTGCTGTTGCCTTATGAAAAACTATACCTGCATGCAACTTTCTCAAAATTGAAAATTTATGAATTGAAATCTGGATTTTTTTTTCAAATGGGAGTAGCTATAAAATAAGAAGGGAAAGGGATTACGCACTAAAATTTAGGCGGACAAATGTATCTGTTTATAAGCAATTAGTACTATACTGTGAAATGCTTTTTATGATAAATAAGAAGATGGGCGGATAAGGCGGACAAAGTGCCTATAGTGCAACCGATAAGAAGTGAAAAATTAAATCTCAATTATATCTAAATTTTATTTGATATTTCATCTAATACAAAAACATACTAAATGTAAAATCTCTACAATTTACAAAAATCCCACAAAGATCGAAAATAGTTGCCTTTATGAAAAATTATACATACACTAAAAAGAACAAAAATGATCATTTTCTCATACTTTAACTATTTTTCAATATGAGTGGATCTTCGCTCCATTTTTTTGAAAGGTAATCCTAAAAGTTTGAAATAAAATATACATTTTTTGGTTTACAAAAACATGGAGCGAAGACCCACTATACCTTAAAAGTACAGTTTTATGGCAAAAGATTCGCATCTTTCCGAGAAATACTTCAAGTCTATTAAGTCAAGGTTCATATCACAAACATGATTTAAATGTCCACAATCATCTTGAGCAATGTAGCGTAGTGGTTAGCGCGTTAGTCTCAAAGCAGTACGATACTTCTGATTTTTATTGCTAGGGTTCGAATCCCACGAATACCATCTAATATTTTTATAAAAGAAAAAAAATTTACGAGATTTTTTTTCCCTCTTAGAAAAAGATATTTTTACTCATAATTTCATAAATTTCAATAATGAGAAGTTAATTTAAATATTCAATTCAAATATTGAACAGGATTTCATAATATCTGACGCTTTAGGCATTCTCCCCCCCCCCCCCCCCCGTCTTCTTTGATTAGACGGTCTTTTTCTTTCAAAAGCACCCGTATTTCACAGCTGAAAATGCTTAAGAAATATGTTTATCGTTCCTATGAACAAAAGATTGGAGGAATTTTTCTTGGAAGAGGCATGGGTATATCAATTTACATACGTAGCTTAATAATTTATACTTACGATTAACTTTTTAAAAATAATAATTACATTAAAATTAAACTTAAATGTTATTTATAATGACAATTTCAGTGAGGTATATTTTATTCAACCTACTGCTTAACCTTTGAGACAAGGTAAACGAAAAAGAAAATCTGAATGTCAGTCAAAGAAAAGACCTTCAGAAATGGATAAAATTTAGAATAATCATAATCATAATCAGCAAAACTGCGTGATTTAAAAATCGCTAATAAAAAGACGAAGTAAACTGTTAGTTTACGAAAGAAAATATAGATTTAAGTTTAATTGAAATTTTTTATTGTTATCATTAAGTGTCCTCACTGAATGTGAAAGTCTGAATAATGTATAGCTGTGTTTTATAATGGTCATTTTGTTTCATGTCTTATGAGAGGCAGAGATTGACCAATCAAAATCTAATGGGTCTGAACTTTCCCTAGTTCGGTCAAGTCAGTGGCGTTTTCAGACCCAGATTCATGATTTTTCAGTTAACTCTAAGTGGTAATTACTGTAAATTTGGATTATCTCCCTTAACAAAATTGGTTTATTTCTCATCTTGATATTTTGTGTCTGCTAAAAATTATATGTCATTGTTAATAATACTTTTGAGAATTTCAAACAAATTATTAAACGTCACAAAGGTGGCAACACAAGACAAACTGTTTTACAGACTTTTTACTCATTGAAGGAGGATAAGATAAGGTGTTCTAGTTTCGAAAGGATTATGGAAAGAAATTAGCCAGTTGATGGGTAACCGGGCTATCAAAATACTTATTGCATTAAAATAACTGTTTTAAAGGAGTCTGGGGGTCAACAAATGCACGATCAGATATGACTAATTTTTTTCACATCTGATACATATACATGTATATTAAGCTGTCGACCATCATTTGACAAATAAAAATTTCATTTATTTTAGTTTTAAAATATGATAATATGGGTATATCTTAAAATGGAGCTCTTAATTCTTCTAAAGGAGATCAATATTCTCAAAATGGCTACAACCAACCAGCCCTCTTAAATTCATTGAATTTGATTGTATTAAAACAGTCATTGTGTTACTTGACGGATTTCAAATCTAGATTTGGTAATTATGAGACAGAAATACGTTTATTATCATTTCGGTATGAGATTAAAATTATGATATGGTAACTCAATATATAAAGATATTTAGTACTTCATCGATTTACAGCGGACTTCCATCCGATTTTTGATACTAATGCATTTTCTAGCAGTATATGAAGGGTGATCAAAAAGTTCGCGAACAAATTGAATAGCTTCCATAAAACAAATAAAACTAGTTCTAATTGTAACGGGGACCGTTACAGATGTTCCCCAAACGCTCCCCAACTCCCTTTTTGTGCAAATTTCCTTTAATTTTTTTTTTCAATATGCTTAGTATCGCAGGATTTCATAAAAGAATTTTAAAAGCTACAATGATATCAACTTTTTGTCATTTAACGCATTGTTCGCAAACGCACGTGCATGCACATGCAAGGTGATCATGACATGTTGTCTAAACCATTAACATATCTTTATATTCCAGAGATCAATAAAAAGTCATAAAAATATAAATTTTACCGTTTTTCAAACATATTGTTCATTTTACGCATTGCGCGTGCGCATG